TGCTTTGTCACCCAGGCTAGAGTACAGTGGCGTGATCTTGGCTCACTGCAACCTCTGCCTCCTGGGTTCAAGTAATTCTCCTGCCTCAGCCTCCTGAGTGGCTGGGACTACAGGTGCCCGCCACCATGCCTGGCTGATTTTTGTATTTTTAGTAGAGACAGGGTTTCACCATGTTGGCCAGGCTGGTCTCGAAGTCCTGACCTTGCAATCTGCCCACCTCAGCCTCCCAAAGTGCTGGGATTACAGACGTGAGCTGCTGCACCCGGCCCAGAAACAACTTTATTGAGATATAACTTACATGCCATAAAATCCACCCATTTGGGAGAGAGATCCAAGATGGCTGATCACTAGCAGCTCGGGATTGTAGCTCCCAGTGAAAGTGCAGAGAACAAGAGGACGCCACACTTTTAGACGCATTTTTGTTGCTCACGCACCAGGAAATTCCCAGCAGAGGAGCCCCACGGGTCGCCAGCGCGACTCTTGTGGCCGGCTAGGCAGTTTTGCAGCTGCCTTGAAGCAGCGGTTCTTGGTGCAGAGTCAGAAAAGCACCATCAATCATAACGCAGCTGTTTTGGCTGGCACAGTGGGTTGCTCAGATTCCGGCGCTGGGAATCAACAAGTTGGACGGCAGAAACCCAATTATAAAGATGGTAATTATAAAGACCACAGATGGATAAATTTATAATGAAGGGAAGAAACCAGCCTAAAAAGGCTGAGAATACCCAAACTCAGAATGACTCTCCCTCTACAGGGGATCACAGTTCCTCATCAGCAACAGAACAAGGCCTGATGGAGACCAAGTGTGTTCCATTAACAGAAGCAGGCTTCAAAAGGTGGATGATAAGAAACTTCTGTGAATTAAAAGAACTTGTTCTAACCCAATGCAAAGAAACTAAAAACTTTGAAAAAAGGTTTGACGAAATGTTAACAAGAATACACAATTTAGAGAGGAATCTAAGTGAATGAATGGAGCTGAAAAATACAACATGAGAACTTCGCGAACTATGCACAAGTTTTAACAGCCGAATTGATCAAGCAGAAGAAAAGATATCAGAGGTCGAAGACCAACTTAATGA